GTGAAGAAATTGCTGGACATGGGAGCAGATCCAACCATCATGAATCACAACGACTCCACTTGTCTTCATGAAGCTGCCGCTAACTGTAATCTCAGTTTGGTCGAAGAACTACTCAGACATAATTCCGTGGTGAAGGAGGTGAGTTGGGTCGAAAGACAAAGAGGCTAGGTTGAATAAACAGAGTGGCTGTTTGGCAAGCTGATTCGGGATACGCCGTGCAGTCGAGTTCATCCAATATCGTGAGGCAACCTGAATGGGGACTGTGGTCCAAATAAGGGATTGGCCGAGCTATAGCTAGTTAGGCGTTTCCATCCTCTCTATCCCATCTCTAATAAGTAGGGAAATGAATGTAAGCAATGATGAGATCTAAATTAATCCCTTTTGACTCGTCACGGCAAACACCCCGATAATTTCGGACTGGGAGCAAATGCTAGGCGTAATCCAAAGATACTTCAGTCCCTCTGATTTATATTTACCTCAACTGATCAGTGTGCTGGATTTTTTGATGAAAGTATTCTTCCATGATGTCAGAATCTTCAGAAATCAACTTCCAGATCGATGTGTGTGATAACAACGATCGCACACCTTTGATGAGATGCGCTGCCAACGATACCGTAGACCATCAAGTGGCAGAACTACTAATCCGTCTGGGAGCTGACCCATCATACCCTGGCGACAAGGTCTGTGAAACAGTTCGATATCACTCGAAACCAGTCGATAAATAGTTACATTGATTTTACAGAGTGCTCTTTCCTACAACGGACGTACAGCTCTGCATTATGCTGCCCAAGTCAATAACGTCCAGATGATTGAGTTTCTCATAAGTAGAGATGCCAATAAGGACGCCCAAGACCTCGAGGTAAGAGGTTTACCAATTCGTGGTTCCCACAAAAGCTATGGTTTCTTGAGTTACAGGATCGAACGCCGCTCTTCCTGGCTGCTTCGCATGGTCATTTAGAAGCAGTACAAGCCCTCGTCAAAGCGGGAGCATCTCTTGAAATCTCTGATCGGAAGGTATAATCCTTTTCTTTTCAATGAGGTTAACTCCTAACTTAGGTGCCTCTCTTTCTGCAGTCGCTCTGAACCTATAGCCCGACTTTTACAGGATCGAACACCTTATAAGGTAGCGGAGGAGAACGAATTCCGGCATCTATTGGATCTGCTGGATCCGGAAGCAAAAAAGGCCAACATCCTATTGCAAATCGTGGCTAACGGGAAGACTACTGTAAAGAGCAGTTCTCGTCAGGTCAAGGTACTAACTAAGTTCTACACCCAAATTTTTCACTTGAATGCAGCGGATGTGCTGCAAACCTGGAGGAGAAGCTGGTATGCCCTGACACCTCTCTCATCGGAGTTCACTGAGCTACTACCGTAGCTCTATGTAATCCATCGCTGGGAGATGTGCTCGGAGGCTCTTCCTCCATGTTTACAGTATGCTCTACCTAACTGTTATCTTAAGATTACCAGACCGTAATAGTAATTTCTTGTAGCGTATACCAGTGAAACGTCGACCACAGCCACTCACTCCTCCGCATTCCGATGGATGTGGTTCAACACCGTCGCCTCGAGCCGCTTTCGGCGCTCCATCTCGACCAGTCGCTTCCGTACTGGATTCACCGTCAAGTGATCGTACCAGTAATGGTAACGACGGATCTTCACCCGGTTCCCTGCCTTTGGTATGTTACTCAAACGGCTTTCACAAGCGGTATATACTCATTTCTTGTCAACCTAACGGAAGAATGGTTTTTAGTTTCTCATATCAAACATTCAGGCACTTCATTCGTATTGGGCATCAGATGTTTCACATCATTCACCACCATATGAAACAACTGAGCTGGGAATATGCTCATATTACAACAATTATTCGATACCGAATCCTGCATATGTATCACAGCCCGTAGCCGATATCCCATATTCTTCATGTCAACATTCGGAACGATCCACATATTACAGCAAACAGGTGTGAAAATATGATCAACGATCAATGTGGATTACGGTAACCACAAATGAAACGATGGTGACGAACGCGTAAAATCAATACCCATACTTGGAAATATGAGCGGTGAATTTAGCCCTAAAGTGACATACCAGAACGGTCGCTCGTGTCATAAACGTAAATGTAGTTTTTGGAATTTTTCCAAGAATTTTTTCAGATAGTTATATTGACTGAAGTCATTCTCACCATGAAGTCAATGTTTGTAATCGCCTACTTTGCCTTTTATGGACAGGGTCATTGTATGGTTCTGACAGTGTCGCAATGTGTGTGTGTGTGCTTTTTAACTCCTTCGTCTGCCTTCCCACAAATTACTAAATCGGTGTATATATGTATAGAAGTTATCATTATATAGAGTGCTTACCTATCACCTCAAAAAATGTAATTTGGTTTTTTTATTGCTGGTTTTTGTTTTTTTCTAGTGTTCTCGATGAGCGTTCGCGGCAAAGACACTTAGACCGCTGTGTCGTCTTATATCCATTCCCAGGTGAATGGGTAAGGACCGGTGGACTGGAAACCGTCAAAGTGTCTCTACCTAAACACTCCACGTGGGCACTACCTTTCATTGTTTGACATGCGAAATACGGGTTTCATCTGATTTGTCCGTGACAACTTGCTTTGTAATAAATATTTATAAAATTTCTCACAATTACTGCACTTAAATTTTGCGCATTTTCTGAAAAATTAACCATAACCATGCTCCCTTCGGAAACAGATATGATCAGTCTCTCTACAGACAAAGCTAACCCATTTTACTCTAAAATGAAATGGCCCGTGTAAAGAAATACCACCTCTTATCACACCCACGAAGCAGAAAGAATTCTAACCCCCTTTTCCAAACCCACACAAGACCCTATAGTGTGGTTCTTCATAAAGATGCAGCAGCCGAGTAATGTGGTTCTTCATAAAGATGCAGCAGCCGAGTAAACATCACAAAACAGTGATTTATGACTCCCAGCAAAAACATTCTTAGTAAAGCAACAGAAAATTTCAAAAGGTAACTAACTAACATAGATCTTCTAGCTATGAGATAAAAACAGATGAGTAAAGCCAATCGAACAAGTGACCTCCTGTAGCACCTTCTACGTGATATAAGAACTGCACAATAGCACATGATAGACAACCGAAATGAAGGAATAAACATGAATTCAAAAAAAAAACAAGAAAACTAAAGGTATAAAAGAATGATGGGTCATCCAATACAGTACATGAAATTAAAGGCAAGAAACCTGCTGTAAAATTATGTAAACCACTATTTGGAGGCATTTCTATCATGAAGTCCAGCATTAATACTGGCCAAATCTCTGATCCCATAAACAGTAATGTACTGACAAAACTGCAGCAAGATATTTTCAAAGATGTCGATGAAACTCACTTCCAGAGTTCCGTTAGCGCGCATGCAATCATAACAGAAATTGATGCAGTTTCGCCATTAATCTCAATCTTCATCATATCCTTCGACTAAGAGAGAATCGGATGGAATCTGCTCTCCTAATGCAATCATTTCTTCCATCTTTCTCATCATCCATTCGCGTGCCTCCTTAAAATGGAACCAAATACAACCACTTGCTTGGGTGAAAATATAAGACGGCAATTAGTGAAAAGAGGGATACTATGGGTAATTCCAAAACCAACAAAATCACCTTCATCATGTCCAGGTCACTGACAACAGCATGGAATCTAGACAGAATTGCATCACTGATTTTCAACTGCTTTTCGGCCAGTACCTTTGAGTACTCTGCATTTTCGGCTCGAAGAGTTTCGAGATCCTAAAAGAAGTAATCTACGAACCTCTCTCGTGATGAAACCTATTCGACTGCTTTCAGCAATATTCATCATAATGTTGGAAATGTTAAGAAGAGAGACAAGAAAGTGGTTACTCTTTTCAAGCTGCCGACTTCATGACACTTGTTTTCCAATATTTCCTTCTCATTTTCCAAACGATCTGAAAAGATTATTCATTTGAGGTACATTGATTTAGAATTTCTTCAAAAAAGTGATGGATGGGTAAGTCTCGCTCTCTGTGACTCTTGTTTGCTTTTGGGTCGAGTTTGAATTCGTGGCGCTAATTTTGTGGGAAAGGAAAAATATCATACAGCCTACTAGATTCGAGGAAACTAAGAGGATGGGACGAAAAGCAAGCTAAATATTTTCAAATCAGTTTTTTTACATAACAGAAACAACAAGCAAGCCTCAGACCATCGAAAAAATAAAAGCGTGTTCAGCACAAACCAAGCTCTGTCTCCTCAGCGATCACATCCTTTTCCCAATCATCTCGATCTCTTCGACGTTGACGCTCCGCTCGCGAGTCCATACGTTGTCTTTCGCGAAGTTTACCACTAATCACTCCATCTTCTTGTCTGAACAAGAAGGATCATCCTTTCAGTTGTTCGCGATTTCAGTTATCATCTAAACCTGACTTGATGTTTTCGGCATCAGAAATCGCCTTCCTTATTGCTTGCTCAAGGTCCCACTTCTGCTGTAGTAACTTAGCTTCAACGTCTTCTAAGAGACTTTTGCAGTCTTTCAATACAGCAAGATGAAGAGCCCTGAAAGTTAGGGATTAATGATTTGAACGAATCGGCTTTCATGTTTACCTGGCATCACTTGGATTCTCATCAATAATAACCGTATCTTCAGAGTAAGCGCTCGGATAAAGACTTCTGATATCCACCACCAGTTTGTGGTGACGACCTTGTTGCTACAAAAGAAATACAAACCAAGATAAGAATGCAAACAAAACCCACATAGGTTCTTAATCTAAAATGAGCTCACCTCGGCTAGGGCACTTTTGGTTTTTGGAACGGCCATCCAGTGCTGTTTGCACAGATTCTCGAGCTCTGCTTTCAGTTTTCTCAAAGTGAGCTTATTCTGGAATAGGACAACGGTGGAGTAATACGAAGATCAATCAAAACTTCCATAGGTATAGAGACCTCAATATAAAATTGCGGTCATGAGGAAATCACTAGTTTTCTACCTGATCCACTTCAGCTATGAGAGCTCGAGCTTCAGTCCCACACAGTCCGTTCGTCTCTTCCTGAGCTTTGATCGCGCTTTCGACTTCCGCGAGTTTAGCGCGACATTCCTTTTCTTGTCCACGGACTGTGGCTAGTTCAACGTTCACAGCGTCCTTGAATGGATGTTATTCAATTGAAAACACGTGTTTCCAGCCGATAAGAGGCTCATGTTGCAACAAGCATACCAATGTTTCTGCTAATAACTTTTCGTCCTGATCCGTCTTCTCCTTATACTCTTGGGCCTTGGCGATATCATCGTCAAGACGTGCAATGTCTTGCTGCAAGCGGTCCACATTTCCTTTCTGAAAAAAGACTGAAAGATTGGATATACTGGAACAGGACGATTTCTGATCCAATAAATGCCTTACAGACTCGTAGTAACTTTTCTTCCCAATTTCCCCAAAGAACGGATCAACACTAAATCAAGGGTAATTTTCATGAATAAATGAGCTGCTTACGAGGCGAAATCATACATAGATACGATACTTTTGATGAGACTCGCACGGATTCGATTAATTTCTCAGAGTAAAGAAACCATCACTAATTTCTACTTTGAAGCACCGTTAGAAATGAAGAATAAAAAGTATTCCTAAAAATGTAATAGTACTTTACCGCTTGATCCAAGAAAACAAACATTGCCAGCACTCACATCTGCCTCCAATTCTTTACATTCTTCGGCAATTTGCTCAAGATTAGCCTCTATAGTCTGTTTCTGAGTATCAAAATCTTCCTGTTGTTCATACCATTGTCGGAGACGTTCGATGTTAACTAAAAATGTAAGCACTCTCTGACAGAAACTGTATTAAACTTTCGGTATCATCATAACAAACTAACCATCGAATGCTTCATCACTTTCCATGAAATCCTTTCGATTTTGAATGTATTCCTTGAATACGGTATTCATCCAACTGTACTTATACTGAAAGATAAATTAAATGAATTGAACATTGCTTTTACCTAGCCATATTTAGCATGGAAATCTGTGATATCCCGAAACGGGCATCAAACAGCTATCAAACGATTCTACAGACTTAGCTAAAGAAAGAACCTAATCAGACTTTACATCATCAAACCAGTTAAAATTGTGAAAATGAATGGATGACGAAATTGAGAAATGAAAAACTGAATTCAAAACTACAGAAAGTAGCAACAGGATTCAACGGATAACTCACCGCCTTCAAGGTACCATTTGAATCATCTCCACCGAGGAGTAGCTCTTGTCCGACCTTGCCTTGAAGTTGATTGCATACCTGCATACATGACACCAGTGTTATTGGAATAAAAGGATCAAATTTGAGCCACTAATCAGCTCCTGCCGGGACAGCTAAAAATAATTCAACGAAGCGAACCTTGATATTATCGATCAACCAGGTTAGGGCGCCGAGTAGTGTGGGCCATGTATGGGCCGCTCCTATGGTTTGCATGGTGCTCGGTTTGATGGCAGTGGGATAACCTAGCTCTCGAAAGATCGCAGGCACCTACAACAAAGAATCCTTACCCTTATCGTACAAGTTTCATAGCCTCTAACTGGGACTACCTCTTCATTGACATTCTTCAACTGGAAATCAGGATTGACGTGTTGATAGATGCTCTCAAACATAGAGATAAAGTCCTGCTTCGTAGGCGACCGGATAACTCGTTCTGGTAGACAGTTCTCAACGAAAATAGTCAGTTCAAAAAGGTAACCACATCATATGTCCTTCACAGTTGGTAGTTTGCAACAAAGTCGGGGAATAAATACTAAACTTTCCAAGCGAAACATCAGGCGAAACAGGGCCATTTCAATAGTTACTTAATTCAAAATTACCCTAAAAACTATCGTGAAGCTCCTTTCCCGGTAGCGGAATTGTCGAAAACAGTTGGCAATTGGCACCCCGAATAAGAATGGCTCATGCTCTACGATATCCTGCTCTTATTAATACTAAGCATTTGTTCATGCAGTGTGTTTAGCAAGATCGACTATACATATTTTCAGTAACATTACGCATGACCATCTACAAGCACCCCAGGGACATCTAGGGCAAGAAGAAGCAGATGAATTTTCCCTAAAAATATCAGAATCAATTTTGCTTGATCGAGAAGCTTCATATACATTGTTTATGTTGTTACATGTTTTCGAAGAAAATACCTCTCCATCATGTTCAAGAAGAAACTCGTAAATCGTTCGGACCATATCACACTGATACTCTTTTGAAGTTAGCGGTCTAGTGTCCTGCAACAGAATTGTAAATGCATGTGGGCATAGATCAAAAAGCCCTGTTTCCCTGAAAGAGGATATGATACAGTGATGAGGAAGAACCAATATCGTATAAATGAGACGCTCTATAGCCAATAAGGCAATAAAGCCGTCAGAGTAACGAATAGAACATCATAATATCACACCCGTTATTTCCATTATCCGACTTTCAGGAATAATTAGAATTTCCAAAAATCTAAAACACTATATGACCACCACTCACTTTGATATTACTGGTAAGTGACCTGAACACAGAGTGTCTACGTGCACTGGCCGGTACTGCTCCACCGATGCTGAATCGAGGTTGGCCAGAGTTGAAATCACTGAAATAGACACATGATGCAATCACTTCTTAGCAAAGTACGCCTAAGCTTAATATTTTCTCTTAAAAGTTGAGATATTGATTTGAGCGTCTCCGAATAGCTGATTTTACTAAAAGTGATTTATTCATATAGTATTCTCCTTACTAATAAGTCATATCATTAACTACCATATAATTATAGCTTACTTCTTAGAGGATGAATTGATCTGCGTTCCTCCAATAGTGAAACGAGGCCTTGTTGGTGTTTTCATTGTCGAACTGGGTACACCCCAACGTGTTGCACCCATCGACTTCTTTTTCTCACTCCCATACATCTTCAACTCTCAAGAAGAAGAAAGGCTGGTCAAAGGCTGCTCACGTTACTATTCTGTAAAAATACGGATGAATAGTTATTAGTTGTTTATAGACATCAATAAGACCCCGCGAAGTACAGACAAGAAAGGAATTGCCAAAGACAGAAAGCTTCAAAGTTTCGCACGTTTACAATACAAATAAAAGCACTATATAGAAAGGAAAAGTAATTTCACCCATTCCCGGCACCAATTTCAAATACGTCATGTTGGCGCGCAAATAGGGGGTACACACAATGACCGCTACAGTAAGCGGAAATGCGAAGGCTGAGGTGTCTGTACCATCCAGTTACGACAAGAATTCGTCTAAACTAGAAATCTCTTCCTCTGCTAAACAAATCAGGCACCTGGCCGTTTAGCACTTCTTATTCACTACTCTTCCTGCCTAGCGGTAACTCAAGCGGTGGTCAGGAAGGAGCCCAAACCAATTCAAAGGAAAGGTAGTTTTTGCGAAAAGGAGACGGACGTGAACAAGGTCATACTATTTTTAGAAATTGATAGAACCACCTCTGGCGTGATCACGACGTTTGAAGCAATCGGGCATGATCACGACTTTTGACGCATTACATGAAGACAAGTCATTCGTTGCCTGAAGGTAGCTGTTATTCAAGCCTTCTCAAGCCA